TTGGAAGTGTGTTTGAATCAGTTGGCGAATATGAGAAGGCTAGAGAACATCTCGAGAAATCACTTGTTATGAAGAAAGAAATTGGAGACAGAGATGGAGAAGCTGGCTGTTACACGAACCTTGGAACTGTGTATGGAGCAGTTGGCGAATATGAGAAGGCTTCAGAGTACTTTAAAAAAGCATTGGCCATCAGTGGAAATATTGGTGACAGAGAAAGCATAGCTGGGTCTTACCTAAACCTGGGAGCTGAACTTTACTCTCTTGGAAAGTATAGCAGGGCTAATGAATATAATAAGAAAGCTTTTGTAATTTTCACAGACACTGGAAACAGACACGGGTTGGCCACCTTTTACCTCAACCAAGGAGCCGTAGAGTTGGCTGTAGGTACCTCTAACAAGGCAAAAGAATATTATGAAATCGCTCTTGCGATAAGCAAAGAAACTGGAGAGAGGAAAACAGAAGTAGATGGTTACTTATCCCTTGGACGTTTCTTTCTCGCGCAGTCTAAGTATGATAGAGCAGAAGAATATATCAAGGAGGCACTTAACTTAAGTGAGAAGATTGGAGATACTGAGGGCCAGCTCCACTCACTTACAAAAATAGCGCACATTAGAATGAAAGAAGGAAAGATTGAGGAGGCGATCTCGTATTTCCTTTCTGGTATGGAAAAATGGGAGGAAATTCGCCGCTCCCTCTGCGACAACGATCAATTTAAGGTCTCCTTCTCTGACCGCCATATTCGTTCTCACAGAGATCTTAGCATGCTGCTTTGTGACATCGGGAATCCTACTGAAGCTCTGTATGTTTCAGAGCTTTCGAGGGCCAGGGCTTTGGCAGATTTAATGTCAGCTCAGTACTCTCTGGAGAATAAAATCTCCATTAATCGTCGAACGTGGGCNTGATCAGTAAAGAAATTGGAGACAGAAATGGAGAAGCTACCTGTTACACAAACCTTGGAAATGTGTATAAATTAGTTGGCGAATATGAGAAGGCTTCACGGTGCTATAAAAAATCATTGGCCATCAGTGGAAATATTGATGACAGAGAAAGCATAGCTGTGTCTTACCTAAACTTGGGAGCTGAACTTTACTCTCGTGGAAAGTATAGCATGGCTAATGAATATAATAAGAAAGCTTTTGCCATTTTCAAAGACACTGGAAACAGACACGGGTTGGCCAGCTTTTACTGCAACCAAGGAGATGTGGAATTGGCTGTAGGTTCCTCTAACAAGGCAAAAGAATATTATGAAAACACTCTTGTGATAAGCAAAGAAATTGCAGAGAGGGAAACAGAAGTAAATGGTTACTTATCCCTTGGACGTTTCTTTTTCGTCCAGTCTAAGTACGATAGAGCAGAAGAATATATCAAGGAGGCACTTAACTTAAGTGAGAAGATTGGAGACACTGAGGGCCAGTTTCACTCGCTAACAGAGATAGCATACATTAGAATGAAAGAAGGAAAGATTCAGGAGGCGATCTCGTATTTCCTTTCCGGTATTGAAAAATGGGAGGAACTTCGCAGCTCCCTCTGCGACAACGATCAATTTAAGATCTCCTTCTCTGACCGCCATATTCTTTCTCAAAGAGATCTTGGTATGCTGCTTTGTGAAATCGGGAATCCCACTGAAGCTCTGTATGTTTCAGAGCTTTCGAGGGCCAGGGCTTTGGCAGATTTAATGTCAGCTCAGTACTCTCTGGAGAATAAAATCTCCATTAATCGTCGAACGTGGGCGGGTCTTGAAGGCATCGTAGCCAAGGAATGCAACTGCACCTGTCTGTACGTCTCATATTTTTGTTGTCGCATATATTTGTGGATTCTTAAAGCAGGAAGAGTCGCACATTTCCAGGAGATAAAAGGAAATGACCTTATTTCTCGGGAGGGATTAAGTCAGCATTTGGATGAGTTTTTCAATTTCAGAAGTTTTGGCGTTTTACCAGAGGAGCTTTGCGAAGACCGATCTTTACACAGTTTTCAACCAGAATCCAAAACAAGCGAGGAAGACAACCATGAAGTTTCGCGATTTGGAAATGAAAGTAAAGCCAGCCAAGGACCCAAAATGAACCTCCCTATCTGTTACAAACTTATCATCGCTCCTGTGGCGGCCTTACTTAAAGGCCCTGAAATCATCATTGTTCCTGATCGAGCTTTATACCAAATTCCATTTGCCGCCTTAACTGATGAAAGCGGAAAGTATTTATTGGAATCTTTCAGGATCCGCATTGTTCCTTCTTTAACAACTCTCAAGCTCATTGATGAAAGTCCAGCCGACTATCACTGTCAAACCGGTGCATTGATAGTGGGGAATCCTGACGTTGGTGAGGTGCATTTCAAAGGATGGCTCACGAAAATTTCGCGATTACCTTGTGCAGAAAACGAAGCGAGGATAGTAGGTGAAAAGCTGGGTGTGGAGCCTTTGCTAGGACGGCAAGCGACAAAGAAGGCAGTTCTTCAAGCGATGAAATCAGTGGCCCTGATTCATATCGCCGCACACGGTGATGCTGAAAGAGGAGAAATTGCCCTCGCACCATCTTTTCGTATTCCTAATGGAATACCTCAAGAAGGACTCTACTTATTAACAATGACTGACATTTCAAGAATTCAACTACGAGCTAAACTGGTAGTCCTTAGCTGTTGCCACAGTGCTCGTGGACAGACCAAAGCCGAGGGAGCTGTTGGAATTGCTCGAGCGTTCTTAGGATCTGGCGCACGCTCAGTATTGGTGGCTCTGTGGGCCCTGGATGACAAATCAACAGAGGAGTTAATGACTCATTTCTACGATCACCTTGTTGCTGGGCAAAGTGCTGGTGAATCTCTACATGAGGCCATGAAGTGGATGGGAAGTAATGGCTATGACGTGAGCCAGTGGGCACCTTTTATACTGATTGGAGATAACGTGACATTTGATTTTGGAAAAAAAGGTAAGATTCGTTGAAAAAACGTGCTTTCTTATTTCTGGCAAAGGGTTTCTGGTATTTAGTGAAAATTTTCCTTACATGTTATCGTTCAAGTTTATAAATGTATTTTTGTATTTTAACGTTTGTCGTTTGATCTTGTGCGGCTGATTTAATTTATTTTACTAGTTTTGTCGATCATGAGAGTGTAGACCATGAAATTACCCAACGTGTAACGCAATGCAATTTTTGAAAGGAAAAAACGTGTGTCGGTTTTTATTGCAGGAGTGCACTACACGAAAACCGCGGAGATTTGAAAATATGAAGTTTCGGCATCTCGATTTTGTCCAAAATTGGGTATCAATAGCTCGAAATAGCATTTTGATCATGATGAAGCTTGATGATTTTTTTTTTTACCTGGATTTGGCAATGAAATTATGCCATGCTAATTCTCCAATCCAATTTATAATGTTATTGTAAAAGACAAATAGACCACGCTGTTTTGTATGGTCCACCCTCCTTCACAAGCTTTCAAAACAATGAGATAACACCCCAGTATTGAGGTGATCAAAGCCCGCGCGGATTCCAGCGAATCTTTAAAAATAAATCTATTTTGTATTAAGGAAATTGCTTTTTATTTTAGAAAAATAAATTCAAATGGTTATACATGTTTCCGCTGTTGTTTATTTCCTCTATCAGGTGCTGGCAAGAATGACCAGGAAGGCAGCGAGTGATCGCATGAGAAGTTTCGTCCTAGCGCTAAGTTGGAAATAAAATAAATCGACGTTTAATTTTTGGCNCAAATCAACAGAGCAGTTAATGACTCATTTCTACGATCACCTTGTTGCTGGGCAAAGTGCTGGTGAATCTTTACATGAGGCCATGAAGTGGATGAGAAGTAACGGCTACGACGTGAACCAGTGGGCACCTTTTATACTGATTGGAGATGACGTGACATTTGATTTTGGAAAAAAAGGTAAGACTCGTTAAAAACACGTGCTTTCTTATTTCTGGCAAAGGGTTTCTGGTGTTTAATGACAATTTTCCTTACATGTTATCGATCAAGTTTATAAATGCATTTTTGTATTTTTAACGTTTGTCGTTTGATCTTGTGCGTCTGATTTAATTTATTTTACTAGTTCTGTCGATCATGAGAGTGTAGACCTACAAGTTACCCAACGTGTAACGCAATGCAATTTTTGAAAGAAAATAACGTGTGCCGGTTTTTATTGCAGGAGTACACTGCACGAAAACCGCGGAGATTTGAAAATGTGAAGTTTTGGCATCTTGATTTTGTCCTAAATTGAGTATCAATAGCTCGAAATAGCATTTTGATCATGATGACGCTTGATATTTTTTTCACCTGGATTTGGCAATAAAGTTATGCCATGCTAATTCTCCAATCCAATTTTTAATGTTGTTGTAAAAGACAAATGGACCACGCTGTTTTGTATGGTCCCCCCTACGTCACAAGCTTTTACAACATTGAGATAACACCCCAGTATTGAGGTAATCAGAGTGCGCGCAGATTCCAGCGAATCTTTAAAAATAAATCTATTTTGTATTAAGGAAATTGCTTTTAGGAAAATAAATTCAAATGGTTATACATGTTTTTGCTGTTTGTTTATTTCCTCTATCAGGTGCTGGCAAGAATGACCAGGAAGGCAGCGAGTGATCGCATGAGACGTTTTGTCCTAGCGCTAAGTTGTATATAAAATAAATCGACGTTTAATTTTTGGCCTCGGTAGAATTGTTAAGGTCATTCCCCACTATTGTATTTCGCATTCCTACTGCGCACGATTTCACGCGTGATAAGCGCGCGCACATTAAAAAATGGCGGCTTTTTGTTTACAGCTGGATCTCGCCATAGAGGTAAATCGTCATTTTCTCGCAAACGAGTACGGTGACCTGTCATTTTTTTCTGTTGTTTTGAATTGAGCAATAAATTTCTCTGTGTAAAATAAATATGGACCAATTCTCA